GCTTGTAGCAAGCTTGTTAACAAGTTGTGACAATGCTGTTCCAATAACTTGTGAACAAGACTTTTAACAACAGGCTTGCAGCAAGCTTGTTAACAAGTTGTGACAATGCTGTTCCAATAACTTGTGAACAAGACTTTTAACAACAGGCTTGCAGCAAGCTTGTTAACAAGTTGTGACAATGCTGTTGCAATACCTTGTGAACAAGACTTTTAACAACAGGTTTGTAGCAAGCTTGTTAACAAGTTGTGATAATGCTGTTCCAACAACTAGTCAACAAGACTTTTAGCAACAGGTTTGTAGCAAGCTTGTTAACAAGTTGTGACAATGCTGTTCCAATAACTTGTGAACAAGACTTTTAACAACAGGCTTGTAGCAAGCTTGTTAACAAGTTGTGAAAATGCTGTTCCAATAACTTGTGAACAAAGACTTTTAACAACAGGTTTGTAGCAAGCATGTTAACAAGTTGTGACAATACTGTTCCAACAACTTGTCAACAAGACTTTTAGTAACAGGCTTGTAGCAAGCTTGTTAACAAGTTGTGACAACGATGTTCTAATAACTTGTGAACAAGACTTTTAACAATAGGTTTGTAGCAAGCTTGTTAACAAGTTGTGACAATGCTGTTCCAATAATTTGTGAACAAGACTTTTAACGACAGGATTGAAGCAAGCTTGTTAACAAGTTGTGGCAGTACTGTTCCAACAACTTGTCAACAAGACTTTTAGTAACAGGCTTGTAGCAAGCTTGTTAACAAGTTGTGACAATGCCGTTCCAATAACTTGTGAACAAGACTTTTAACAACAGGCTTGTAGCAAGCTTGTTAACAAGTTGTGACAATGCTGTTCCAACAACTTGTGAACAAGACTTTTAACAACAGGCTTGCAGCAAGCTTCTTAACAAGTTGTGACAATGCTGTTCCAATAACTTGTGAACCAGACTTTTAACAACAGGTTTGTAGCAAGCTTGCTAACAAGTTGTGACAATGCTGTTCCAATAACTTGTGAACAAGACTTTTAACAACAGGCTTGCAGCAAGCTTGTTAACAAGTTGTGACAATGCTGTTCCAATAACTTGTGAACAAGACTTTAACAACAGGCTTGTAGCAAGCTTGTTAACAAGTTGTGATAATGCTGTTCCAACAACTAGTCAACAAGACTTTTAGCAACAGGTTTGCAGCAAGCTTGTTAACAAGTTGTGACAATGCTGTTGCAATAACTTGTGAACAAGACTTTTAACAGCAGGTTTGTAGCAAGCTTGTTAACAAGTTGTGACAATGCTGTTCCAATAACTTGTGAACAAGACTTTAACAACAGGCTTGTAGCAAGCTTGTTAACAAGTTGTGATAATGCTGTTCCAATAATTTGTGAACACGACTTTTAACAACAGGCTTGTAGCAAGCTTGTTAACAAGTTGTGAAAATGCTGTTCCAATAACTTGTGAACAAAGACTTTTAACAACAGGTTTGTAGCAAGCATGTTAACAAGTTGTGACAATACTGTTCCAACAACTTGTCAACAAGACTTTTAGTAACAGGCTTGTAGCAAGCTTGTTAACAAGTTGTGACAATGCTGTTGCAATAACTTGTGAACAAGACTTTTAACAACAGGTTTGTAGCAAGCTTGTTAACAAGTTGTGACAATGCTGTTCCAATAACTTGTGAACAAGACTTTTAACGACAGGATTGTAGCAAGCTTGTTAACAAGTTGTGGCAGTACTGTTCCAACAACTTGTCAACAAGACTTTTAGTAACAGGTTTGTAGCAAGCTTGTTAACAAGTTGTGACAATGCTGTTCCAACAATTTCTGAGCAAGAGTTTTAACGACAGGCTTGTAGCAAGCTTGTTAACAAGTTGTGGCAATACTGTTCCAACTACTTGTCAACAAGACTTTTAGTAACAGGCTTGTAGCAAGTTTGTTAACAAGTTGTGACAATGCTGTTCCAACAATTTCTGAACAAGAGTTTTAACGACAGGTTTGTAGCAAGCTTGTTAACAAGTTGTGGCAATACTGTTCCAACAACTTGTCAACAAGACTTTTAGTAACAGGCTTGTAGCAAGCTTGTTAACAAGTTGTGACAATGCCGTTCCAATAACTTGTGAACAAGACTTTTAAAAATAGGTTTGTAGCAAGCTTGTTAACAAGTTGTGACAATGCTGTTCCAATAATTTGTGAACAAGACTTTTAACGACAGGATTGTAGCAAGCTTGTTAGCAAGTTGTGGCAGTACTGTTCCAACAACTTGTCAACAAGACTTTTAGTAACAGGCTTGTAGCAAGCTTGTTAACAAGTTGTGACAATGCCGTTCCAACAACTTGTGAACAAGACTTTTAACAACAGGCTTGCAGCAAGCTTGTTAACAAGTTGTGACAATGCTGTTCCAACAACTTGTGAACAAGACTTTTAACAACAGGCTTGCAGCAAGCTTCTTAACAAGTTGTGACAATGCTGTTCCAATAACTTGTGAATAAGACTTTTAACAACAGGTTTGTAGCAAGCTTGTTAACAAGTTGTGACAATCCTGTTCCAACAACTTGTCAACAAGACATCTCCTCGACAGGTTTGTAGCAAGCTTGTTAACAAGTTGTGACAATGCTGTTCCAACAACTTGTCAACAAGACATCTCCTCAACAGGCTTGTAGCAAGCTTGTTAACAAGTTGTGACAATGCTGTTCCAACAACTTGTCAACAAGACTTTTAACAACAGGCTTGTAGCAAGCTTGTTAACAAGTTGTGAAAATGCTGTTCCAACAATTTGTCAACAGGACTTTTAACAACAGGCTTGTAGCAAGCTTGTTAACAAGTTGTGACAATGCTGTTCCAACAACTTGTCAACAAGACTTTTAACAACAGGTTTGTAGCAAGCTTGTTAACAAGTTGTGACAATGTTGTTCCAACAACTTGTGAACAAGACTTTTAACAACAGGTTTGTAGCAAGCTTGTTAACAAGTTCTGACAATGCTGTTCCAACAACTTGTCAACAAGACGTCTCCTCAACAGGCTTGTAGCAAGCTTGCTAACAAGTTGTGACAATGCTGTTCCAACAACTTGTCAACAAGACTTTTAGCAACAGGTTTGTAGTGTACACATGTTAAAATCCACAAGTTGTTACAAGTCTGCCAACAAGTTGTTACAAATCTGTTCACAAGCTGTCGACAAGTTGTGTTCGCACTGCGTGTTCCTAGTTGTTGTAACAAGTTTGGAACAAGCTGTTAGCATCTTGTAACAAGCTTGATGGCATTATCAGACTTGTCACAAGGTTGTTCTAACAAGTCTGATACAGTCATGATGAAGGGCGGATTTTCATTTATGTAAAGGGGTAGGAAAATTTCTGGTGGGATTCAAGTGACACCACTCAGTGAGCCACAGCACGGGTTAGGCGTTTGGGTTGAAGCCTTTCACACAAAATAGGAGGGGTGAAGCAAAATTTTGGTGGGGTTGAAGACTTTATTAGAGGGGTTAAAGAGATTCTAGGAGGGGTTTAACCCACCCAATAAATCCACCCATGATTAACCCATCGAGTGTCTGTACTTTCTCCTTGACGAGTAAAATCGTCTGGCGTTAGACAGCGTAAAATGACAAAGTAGGGTATGTGCATC